TATCTAAAATCTTCTCCAAGGAAACTAAAATTCGCCTAGCGGAAACGGAAGTTGAGTTTGTTAAATCAGTTTTTAACAACTTAACTTGATTTATTAACTCACTGTAATTATCGGAATCAATTCCTAAACATCTCGCTAAATCCAATATAATCGCGCTTTGAACTGCTTTACTTGTTTGTCTTCCTTCTCCTTCTCTTTGTAGTGTACGATGAACTCTCTCTTCATTTTCAGTAACCTAAAATGAAAAGAGAAACTAATTTGTCAAATTAAAGAATATATATATATATATATATATATATATATATATGTTTGTATGTATATATATGTATGTATATATATGTATGTATGTATATATGTATGTATATATGTATGTATGTATATATATGTATGTATATATATGTATGTATGTATGGAGGAAAATAGAAGATTTGTGGTGAGATGTTTATACGGTGAAATGAGACTGTTTCATGTCAAAGGAGAGATCGGAGATTTTTTTGCGGAGATCGGGGAGGTCATCTGAGAGGGAAGACTCGATCAAGGCGAGCCAGGAAGCGATGGCTGAGGAGTGTTGTTGGAGAGAAGAAGAGAGAGATTTGCAGTTGATGAGGACGAAGATCTTGCTTCGCTGGCGGTAAGACGACACCGTTTCGACGGCTCTAGAAAGATCCGAGGCGATTCCTTTGAGAGCTGTTTGAAGAGCCGGCGGGAGAGAGTCTGACTCGAGGAAGTTGTGATGGTTGAGGACGAACTGGAGCCTGGAAGCGAATGCCGTGAACCGGCGGGGACTGTCAAAGGAGTCGGTGGAGGAATAGGAAGTGAGTTCCGAGAGGGATCGGTGGATGGACTCCGCAGCGGCGGATGCCGTAGAAGGTGGCGATGGTGACGTCATTCACGGCGAGCTTGACATTGAAGCAGTCAAGAAATGGGTATTAGGCGGAAGGATTTGCGTTTACAAACAAAAAAAAAATTCGTTTGGCCATTGCTAAGCTAAAAAGCTGAAGCTTTTGTCTTCAAGTAAAGCCATTTTCCAAAAGGACTTTTATTCTTGAAGAGATTAGTCAAGGTTTGACTTTGGCAAACGCAGACTTCCCCTCACCACCGTTAAACTCCGCTACTCCATTATCGTTTCCTTTGTTAAAAGGTTTAGCCTTCCTTTTAGAAAATTACAACATTTGTAAATTATTTGATACTTAGATATAATTATGCAATATTATTATAAAATAATATTTCTAAAAATATAAACTGTTTTTAACAAATGAATATTACAACCAACCTTTGGTGACTAAAATTAAAGAATAACTTAGTAAGTGGTCAAGTAAGAGGTAAAGTTTTGGTGGCTGCAGCTCATCATCAAAGCTGTGTTGTTCAGTATCTTTAGTTACTGGAGCAGACAGTTTATTCTGCCTAATGGAGTGATCAGGGATATTGAGAGACTTTGCATGAGGTTTTTCTGGAAAGGGGGCAATATTCCTGCTAGGGGTGCTCAGGTAAGTTGGGATCAGATTTGCTCTTTGAAGTCTCTGAGGGTGGCCTGGGGCTAAGGAGCCTGTTGGATTGGAGCAAAGCTTGTTGCTTGCTACTCATTAAGAAAATTTTAGCGGGGGAAGGCTCACTCTGGATTGCCTGGATCAATGCTTATTGTTTTAGAGTTACTGATTTCTGGAATGTGGACTGCAAGCTCCATTTCAGTTGGATTCTGGTTAAAATGCTTAAGCTAATAAGTGAGGCATTGAGTCTCTTCTGCTCTGGAAGTAACTGGACTCAAATTAAAGTTAACTGGATATGGGAAAACATTCGAAGCAGATATGTGAAGGTTAGCTGGCATCGTTTGGTGTGGTTTCCAGGCCACATACCCAAATTCTCTTTGATTTCCTGGATGGCAATCTTACATAGATTACCCACAAAAGACAGGCTCGCAAAGTTTGGACTGCCTACTGATAATGCTTGTGGCTTATGTAATTCTGGTATTGAATCCCACAACCATCTCTTTTTTGAGTGTTTATATGCTAAGAGTATTTGGCGTGTTGTTCTTCTCTCCTGTGGTCTTACTCAGGAGCCTTTGAATTGGAGTGATAACCTCCAATGGATGGTGTAGAACCTCAAAGGTAAATCTCTTCTGGTTCACTTGCTCAAGCTGGCTTGGACAAGATTTGTGTATTATATTTGGGAGGAACGAAATCATAGGCTCTTTAGAGGTTTGTCTTGTTCTAGTGAGATTATTGTTAGCAGGATTAAGGATGCAATGAGGATTAAATTGTATAGATCATGTATGAACAGGTTTGATACTGTAAATTTACGATTGTGTTCAAATTAGGGGTTGGTATAGCTGTATAGGGAATGTACAAGGGTATACGTTGTATAGCAATTTGGTTGCTTCTTTTTGGATAAATGAATTTTACTTATCCAAAAAAAAAAGAATATTACAACCAACCCATAACAAATATAAAAAATATCATAATTTAATCTATTTTTTAGGATCATAATCGTTTTATATAATTTGATTTAAGAATCAGTTATTATCTATATTTATAATTTTATCTCTTATAAAATTATAGATACAACTTTAACTTTAATAGTATCTATATTTTTATTTCCATAAAAATTCTAATATATTATAATTTTGTAGCATAATTGATAATTTAATTTATGTCTTATTTTATGATAATAATATATATTATAAATATGTGTTGATAATTATAAATTTTTAATATATATGTTTTTGTAAAATTTTAGAGGAATGTAAAGATCGAACTTAATACGTGGTTCCTATGCTATAGGTTTTTATTGGTTGTGGTTTTGTATCATATAATTTGTTAATTTTAATATTAATATTTTTGTTAATTTTATTAAAAAACATATCGACGTGACATAATCACTAACGATTTCTGTACAGTTTGATAAAGGTTTTACACATTAAAAATACAAAAATAGAAATATAATATTATTAAATTGTATATAGAAATGTCAAAGATATGTATGTCATATTTTATTAGAAAATATGTCATGTCAAAGTATTTTACAAAATTAACCAAAATAAGTTGGCTTCAGTACGGAAATTAATAAAATCTATATATATTATAGATATCTAATACAATACAATTATCATAAATTTATATATTCAAATTAGTAAAATATATAATATACTACAATTATCATATTTTAAAATAAAAATTGAATAAACCCTAATATCATTTTTTGTACTTCGTTTGTTAATGCGATTAGATCTGTTCGTATCCATATTTTGTTTATGTTTATTTAATTAGATTTTTTTCCTTGTATGATCACTGTGTTATTTTAAGTGACTAGTTTTTTTGTGTTAATAATTATAGGAAAATATCTTACTATATGTTTAGTTCACGATTATAAGTATAATCATTCATTGTAATTATAGATTTTATTTTAATAAAACTAATAGTTTTTATTTGTAAAAATAATAAAAATTTAAATAAACAATTACTAATTAATAAAATTGAATTTATAATTAAATAATTTCATTCAACTGAAATTTTATAAGGTAAATTATATGTTTAGTATCTCAATTATCACTCTTGTTTTATTTTGATCACCGAACTATTTTTTGTTTCAAAAGTATATCTAAGGGTCTGTTTGTTTGGGGAATCCAAATACAGAATTGGTTTCCCCCGAAATCTCGTGTTTGTTTCACGTAATTCATTTTCCGGAAAATATTTTTCCGTGTTTGTTTCACGTAATTCGTTTTTCGAAAAATATTTTCCTGTGTTTGTTTCACGTAATTCGTTTTCCGGAAAATGTTTTCCAGTGTTTGGTTGAAGGAAAACTAGTTGGTCAACGTAAAACATTTTCCTGGTCAACAAAATTTCCTTTGTGTTTTATGGAAAATGACTTACGTTCTGATTTTCCATAAGTCATTTTCCAAACTTTTCACTTCAAAGAATAAATACTCAAAATAATTTTATTTTATGAATTTAATATTAATAAAATATTTTAATATCAATTTAATCAAAATATTAATTATTAAAATATTTAAAATATATTTATTAATATTTCTAATAATATAATATTATATTTTTAATATTATAATAAAATTATAAATTATAGTATAATAATATAAGAAATTATATTTTTATTTTAATAATATATAATAAATTATTAATAAAATTTATATTATTTATTAATTTCATATAAATGATATTATTAAATTATTAATAATGAATAATATTAATTATATATTTAATATTAATATAATAATCTAATAAAATTTTAATAAAGATATTTAAAATATACTAATTAATATTTTAAAATATAATATAACACTATTACTTAAATAAATAATTAATATAATTTATTATATTTTTATTTCAATAAAATATACCAATATTAATATTGTATTAATAAAATTATAAAAATACTATTGAATAATAAATAAATTATTTTAATATTTTAAAAATAATAATATTAAGTTTTATGATAAATAATATTATTTATTGTATTTAATATTGTAATAAATAATTTTTAAAAAAACTCATAAACTAGTGGAAAAATGTTTAAACAACATCTTCCAAACATCGTAAAACGTTTTCCAGATTTTTTTCAGAAAAATATAATTCATTTTAGGGAAAACGTTTTTCAGAAATGTAATTCATTTTCCAGAATTCAATTTTTAGTAATTCATTTTCCAAAATTCAATTTCCATAAAACCAATTACAACCAAACAAACAGACCCTAACGTTATGTTTTAGTTTTATTTTGATCACTCACAGTTAAAAAAATAACGATGATGTTGACATGTCACCTTAAGATAATATCACATTATCATTGAATTTTTTTAAATTTCATGTTAATATTTTTTTATTTTTTAATAACAGATAACCAAAATAAAATTAAAATCGTAACGTTATACATGACTTTCTAAAAATAATAATTTACTGATCTAAACAGAATAAAAGCGATGGTTGAGGTACTAACATATAGTTTACCCTATATATATAAAAACCATAGTTCTGATCTAAAAGGCAAAAACGGAAAGTGTTGGTAATTTCGTTGCATATTAGCTTCCAGTTTTCTCTTTACTCTCAACAGTTCCATCGGTTTTCGCGTCAGCGACATGGATCGAGCCCAGCTCCTCCTCGTAGGATTACCACTCTTCCTCTTCGTCACCGATCTCTTCAACCTATTTACTCCTCCGCCGCCGAAACCGCCCTCCCACCACCATCATACCCACCGACCCAAACCTCCACTCAATCCCGAAACCCTAGATATCCCTTTACAGGTATGTTTAATCATTGATCAATTATTTTAATTTAATTTCTCATTCAATTAATCTATTTCATTTTTCTTTCGAAGAAACCCAGCACCATTGGTGGAATCGGCTATGGAAGCACGGTTAATATCAATTTCTGCGCTTCGTGCTCTTACAGGTTTTACTTGATTTTCACTTTTCTTTATTAAAGTCGATATTGTTGTTGAATAATTCCAAAAAAAAAAAAGCAATCGATGAATATTTGTAGGGGAACTGCCGTGGCAATGAAGAAGATGTTAGATACTCAGTTTCCTGGAATTGATGTAATCCTTGATAACTATCCACCTCCTTTGCCAAAGCGGTTGCTTTCCAAAGTGGTTCCAGTTTTCCAGTTTGGAGTTATAGGGATTATAATGGCGGGTGAACAGATATTTCCTATGATTGGGATTACGACACCACCGCCATGGTATTATTCCTTGCGTGCAAATAAGTTTGGGTCCATGGCAACCGCTTGGCTTCTGGGCAATGTAATGCAATCTTTTCTGCAAAGCTCTGGTGCTTTTGAGGTTTACTGCAATGGTGAATTGGTTAGTGACCTTTCGGACTCTTCTATGTATATATTTAATGTCCTGAGCATTTTAGAAACCAGAATTCAATTTCTTATTGCTTTATGATTGATGGAGTTGTCTTAGCCGGTTAGAAAACCTGATATTCAATTCGGGTATTTTTGCAAGTTATGTAATTCTCTCTGATTGTTTTGTTTGATAACTCGAATCAAATCTTGACTTAATTATCTCTTTTGTTACATTTTAAACTGCAGGAATCAATGTTTCTAGTTGCTTAATTTCTTTCACTTTCTGAAATTATAGGTTTTCTCTAAGTTGAAGGAGGGAAGGTTTCCGGGAGAGATCGAGTTAAAAGATCTTGTTGGCAAAACATTGGCTAATTCAAGAGTGACTGACAACCTTGGAGTAGTGTGGTCTTAGCTCAGTGGCTGGACTGTAACTGTTTTATTGAAAGCACTCAACCTTAACAGTACAAGGTTTGAGTTTCTCTATGGTTTTTACTTAGATTGCTGATTGCTCTATTGGAAACATATAAAGACATCGGCTCAGGTTTTATGTCACTCGTGTATTTGAACTTTTTGTTGCAGTTTATGGAAGCCACGTTAGTCTAAAAGATATTATCGGCTGAGAATCTCAGTACTTGATAGTTTTCCCAATTTGGCTAAATTTTAAGTATTTTGTTTGCATAAAAATGGAATAGTATTATTTATGGAATAAGATGCAAGTATATGGATAACCTGAATGAAGTTGGAATCTATAATCTGCTTATGCCACAACCAAACACAGAAATTGTAACCCAGTTACTAGCCACAAAGAATCTGTTCCTTCAGCTAACGACCTGAGTTAGATATGCTGAACGCCATATGAAGAAGCTGATGAATCCTGCTAGAGATACTCCTTTTGCTTCTTTCAAAATCAAGCATAGATGCCTCACAAACCACCCAAACTAGTATATCTCAATCATGAAATGAGTAAATAAATAGCTTACCTTACCCTGTCTTAGGTCAGTCAACAAGGGCCTTGAATCTTCCAACAGTTGCCATGCTTCCTAGATCCCTGTTCTCAGGGAGGAATATAGGATTTTATGCTAGGGGGTAAACAGATCATTAATAGAAAATACAAAGAAAATTTTAAATTATATGAGAATTTGAAATTTTCAGCCTTCAGGGGAGACTGCCCCTGCCAGCCTGGCAGCACCCCCCTCAATCCATCCCTGTCTGTGTTTGAATGGATCCCCAAAGGTCTAATGCCTTGGCACCAATAGAATGTCCATCTTTACAAATTTTGTTTACTAGGTTTGCCAGATTCTTTCCTGTCGCTCAACTATTTATGAAAGAAACATTAGCACCATAGTTTTTGAAGTCACAAATCCTAGTTGTGCAAATAAAACTACACCACCTGGTCTGAAAACTTAGTAAGAAAGTTCCAACATAGTGCATTTGAGTTTTGACTTGCATTAGTAAATACACAACTTTGTACTGTTTTATGTTTTACCCTTGTTTTGGATGTAAAGAGTAGTTTAAATATACATCATTGGGCACAATGAGATCTATCCCCATTTCAGGACATGAACACAATTAAAAGTAGGTGGAATCATTTTTATACATTAGCCTATGCAATGAATACCTTAGTATTATACTCAGAGGGGAACTATATGGTCTCCAAAGTTGTTCACAGTTAGGAATATATATATATATATATATATATATATAGAAAGAGGGGTCAACTGAAACTAGTGTAAAACTGAGTTTTGCACATTTCTGTTAATTTGTTTATAATTGATATTTTGACTATTCAACTTTTAAATTTATCAATATCATTGTATTTGTTATGTACGTAAAATTTGAGCCAATCGGATGCATGCCATATTGATCTAAATTAACGTTTTAAAAATATATATATATTCAACGGTTGAACAAACAAGAATTGGATAGAATCATTTCAATTAAATTAATTCATCTGTAATAAATACCAGTTTGATTAATAATTAAAATTTTATAATTGTAATTAACTCGATTAATGGCAGTTAGAACATCACTAGCCCCTACAATTTATGCAATTAATGTCGGGTACTTTTTTCCCTTGATTGTTTGACATTCCACTATGTTTGAAGCCTTTGAATTACATATTATTCGTGTGCATAGCAAGCCAATTTGCTTTAGTTGGTAGGCCTACCAATGATTGATGCAAGTAAAGGATGCAACATCTTATTATATATTTTGACGGATGCAAATGTTAGATATGAATATAAAAATGCAAGTGTAAGGAAGACATTTATTGGTTCAGGATTTTGACCGAACGATTTGAGTGCATGGTCGATTTCATCATATTTAACCTTACAGCGAAAGGAAATTACTTTGTCAGGACTTAGGAGCATTGTTGTGTTATCCGGAAATCAGACGATGGTGAAGAACCCTAATCTTCACTCATTTGCTTCAATGTGCACCCACCGTAAATCGAAACCCAGGTGTCTATACTGTGACAGGGTATTATTCTACCACTAGATTAGGGATGGCAAACGAATGGGACGGGTGCGGATACCTCCTCCTCCATCTCCATACCCACCTAATATTTTCTAACCCACTCATGATGGGTAAAAATTTTCAAATCCACACCCGCCCACGCGAGTACATTCTCAAATCCATCCCCACACCCACTACCCAACTGGAGACGTACCGACTAGACCCGCCTGACAGTTAGGGGTGTGTAAAAAAATCCGATCTGATTGATCCGATCCGTTGACTCGTTGATCCGATCCAAAAATTCGGATATCTGATCCGTTTTTCAATTTTCAAATAGTTCGGATCGGGTATCCAAATTTTTTTCCAAATTATCGGATTTGATATGAATCGATAAAAAACCATGTTCGGATTATTCGAAAACCCGAAAAAAATTGGGCTATATTTGAAGACTAGAGGAGGTTTTCGCATAAGGCATGGGCACGACTTATTCATCCTGAACTATCACAGAAGAAGTCTGCAGTTAAGGCGTGGGCACGCCTTACCAGTCTGTACAACCCTAAATTGAGACTTGTTGTATACGACGTCATCGTCTATAAACTTCAAAACCTTCGTTGTATACGACGCCAATAGTCATTATCTATCCTAATCATCTTCCTATATAAGCCCAAAACTTCAACAAACCATCAGCGATAAGAATTACAAATGTTGGATAGACACCTAAACAAATCCATTCTTTGAGTTGTAAAAATATTATTGACACAACTTTCTCTGAGTTATTTAATCAGTCTCTTTGTTTGTTGTTGCACCTGTTTCTAATTATAATAAAGTTTCACTTACCCAAAATTAAAACATGATTTCATCTATTTCCCCACACCAACAACCAAAAAAACTTATACAAATCTAAGCAAATGATTCAAGATGCATAAAATATAGCCCGGTGTTTGGATCTTTACCTTTGCATTATCCCAATCTAGAAAAAGAAAATCAAATCTAAGTTGTATTGGTTTTGGGCTTTTTTTCAAGATGTTTTTGTTTTTCAATGCATGATTATGCAAATTATAATGCATAAATTATTCATAATTTTCAAAATCAGCAGAATGTGTGAATGCACTTAAATTCAGAAGAATACCAAAATCGATAATTCAATATACGTACATATAACGTGTTTCTTAAAAATCAATATATGAATGCTCTTAGATTCAGCAGAATATCAAAATCAAAATAATGGAGTATTGACTATTGGCCTTGTATCTTGAACAAAACTAAGAGGATTAGATCTGAAAACCGTAGTATTCACCTTACTACAAATTAAAGAGACCATAAACAACTTCGATGCAATAAACAAGATTGGGGAATGTGATTTTGGATCTGTGTATAAGGTGACATACAACTCTACTACCCGCAAAGGAGACCAGAGTAAAAAAGAGGAAGCAAGTGTACCTAAATGAGTTGGAGACCAGAGTTTGGAACTTAGAGAAGAAGAACTACAAGAAGTAACCAACAAAAAAAGCACGAGAGCTTTAAAAGAAAAAATCGATTCATAAACTTATCCCTAATATTTGGTTAAATTATAAGTTATATCTTATACAATATTAAGATTTATAAATTAGTCTCTAAAATTATACCTAAATTCATAATGGTCTAACATTTAATGGGTATTTAGTGGGCGGGCGGATGCAGGGAGGGTAAGGTCTCAAACCCATCACCCGCCCACTACCCGCGACGGGTACCACTTTCTAAATTCACACCCGTCCACTACCCACTAAAGTTATACCCATCTCCGCCCCAATTGGAGCGAGTACGGTGTGGAATCCACGAAATTGTACCGTTTGCCATCCCTACACTAGACCACTTGTGCTTTTTGATGATTGGGAGAAACATAATTATATAAACTGTGTTTGTTTTCTATTTTTGGTATAACTATTGGTATCTGATTTATTAATCGATTAATCTAGATTTTGTACTACAAAGGTAATGATGACCCTTCCAAATAAATTTGTTTCATTTGCAAACGTCAAGATTTGAACTCTTGACATTGTTTAAGAGATATAGTATCTCATCATACTAAATCAATTTTTACTTTAAAATAAAATTAATCGTGAGATTCAATAAAAATAATTACTAAATATATCATTTTAAAATGTGTTAGTAAAATAATAAATAATCAATTTTAAAATGTGTTAGTAAAATAATAAATAATCAATTTTAAAAAGTAACATAATCTATACATGATAATTTTTCTTTTATTTTCTTAAATAATCGTTTACTTTTAGATGAATTATTTTATAATAATTAAAGTGATTTATTTATTAGCTTATCCTATTAAGTTCGTGAGAACAATTTGAAGTTTGTAGAAATGCATTATCATCATTCTTCTTGTAACATCCTCAATACCGGGTTAGTAACTAAATTGTAAAATTTTAGAATTTGGTGATAAAAGTAGAATAGTTGAATAGTTCAATGATTTATGTGGAGATATTTCCTAAAAATTATTAGTAATTATTAAATGAAATAAAGAGCAAAATGGTCATTTGACTTGGAAATAATAAGATAATGATACATATATATATATATGTATGGGGGATAAGGATAAGGAGATATTTTATCCACTTCTCTTCTTCATCTTCTTTCTTCTTCCACCTCCACGTGAACAAGCAAAAGGTAAGATTTCTTCGTTGTTGATTATTAGCTGAAATTTAAATTGGGTTTTGATCCTTAGATGATAATTAAGCTTAAGGAAAGCTTAAGTTATCTTAAAATTAAAAGATGAAGAAGTTATGAAAGATTAAAGAGAATGGGTTTAAGTGAAATTTTGAATAAGGTTGTATAAATGGATTTAGAAGTTGAATTTCACTTGTCATCAACTTAATTAAGAGATTTATGAAGTTAGAAGAGATTTATAACAAAGTTGAAAGTTTAGTAAGATTCTTAAATTTTAAGAATCATGATGAGATATGGAAGATAAAGATGGTTTATATGGATATAAGTTGGTTTATGTAAAGGTATTTGAGTTTAATGGCATGATAGGAGCTTAAAATGAAAGATTTGGATGAGTATTGGTGAATTTTGGGGTTTTAACAGATTATGTAGGGGGTACCGATACCCTATGGGGGTACCGATACTACCTTAAGAGAAAATAGAAATTGAGCTTTTCTTTGGTCTAAGATATTAAGG